TTCACAAATCCGGATTAATTCACCGGGATTTTCACCCTGGAAACATTCTTTTTTCTAATGGTAATAATGCGGTTTACATAACAGATTTAGGGTTATGCAAACCAGCTAATTTTAATGAGAGAGATGATAAACTATACGGGGTTCTTCCTTATGTAGCGCCTGAGGTTTTTCATGATAAGATACATACAAAGGCTGCAGACATCTATTCATTCGGAATGGTTATGTGCGAAGTATTTTCTGGCGCCTCTCCTTTTAGCAATGTTGATTGTGAAAATGAGGAAGAAAGTAAAACCCTTGCGATTAAAATCTGTAACGGGAAGCGACCAGAAATTCAAAATCTGCCCCCTTTAATAGCTGAATTGATAAAAACATGTTGGGATGCTGATCCAGCAAGACGACCAGACGCAGAGGACTTGTGCAAAATTTTAAATGCTTGGAAATTTTTTACGTTCGATTCCGAACTTGAAAAGCAAATTAATGCAAGTGAAGAGAATCAGACGCGTCAACCACTTGGTCGTACAAGTGAACAAATTCATACAAGTCAACTTCTTCGTACAAGCAGACTTCTTGATTTTGAAAATCTTCACAGCCCAAAATTCCGAAATTGAGATGAATTTGACAACCAAGAGTAAAGTCTTAATCATGACCGAAAAATTAATGCTCAAGGTAAATAAAACATATACGAAATTCTATTAGACAAAAGTTTTTCTTATCCTTAAATATCTTTAGAAATATTCTCAAATCCTCTACTTTTACCTTGTTGTTTCGAAAAACTTTGTATAAGATTGTGTAATGAAGTGAAAAGTGCATTCTATTGTACTCTTCAGAATTCTGAGAATATTTTTAACCCAAAGTAAATGCACGTTGAATTTTGTTGCACAAATAAAAAAACTAATAAGTTATGGCACGAAGAGTAAATTTTCACTATGAGAAACAAAACAAATAAAGGCTTTATACCGTAAAAGATATGTTTCCGTAAAAATTATATAAAGATTGTTCGATAAAGAAAGTTGAACTTTGAACAGGTAGGTTAATTAATTGAAAAACATTTTTATTAAAATCGAAAGTATAACACTTAAAGCATACAAACCGATATTTAGTCTTTATTCTAAATATTGAATAAAGATCTCGATTATGAGTGAAAAAATTTGATTTTTTTCTTCCAACAGTTATTGTGTTGCATTTTATTTATGGCTAATTGTCCGAAGGACATTAACGGTTAGACATCCTTTTACAGATTCTCTGCCTGTCCACACGCGTAATTTTGCACGCGTTCATAAAGAACATTAATGGCTAGATATTCTTTTACGCGTATCCAGTTTTTCTGTACGCATAATTCATCATGTGTTTAACACGTATCATATTAACAATTATTATTCGAGTTCATTAATGATATCAATAAATTTGATTGATTGATTTTATTAATTACGCTATTATATATATGATATTTTGCTTCATTAAAATTTAGATTTTAATACATATTTGTAAAATGGATGACGTTATACTCTTCGAAAACGTAAAAACAGAAAAAATGAGACTTCTGAACAACGCAACCTTCGTCAAAAACGAGATAGAGAAAGGAAATATATAAAAAGGTTGAATGAAACTGCTGAACAACGTGAAATCCGATTAAGAAAAGACCGTGAACGTCACCAAAAAAGTTACAAAAAACCGCTTCATGTTATTGATACCCAGTTGAATGCTTCACATCATACTACCAATAATTATCCGTCAAATTTCGATTTAAATTTACTTCACAAATTTCGCTCTAAAATTGATAATTTCGCCAATAATTTTCGCACTGTATGCAATGAATGTTTCCCGTCAATCGAACTTATGGGTGGTGAATGTCGCCGTTGCTACTCTGAAATTAAAGAATTAAAAAAACTTAATTTGAATCCTGAGTTGAAAAAGTTTGCTTTAAGAAATAATATGGATCCGGGTAATGTACCTAAAGATTTGAAAGGTCTTACTCAGATAGAAGATGCTCATTGCTCAGATATTTCCTATCGTCTCTGTGTATTATCTGCCTGGTGGCCAATATGCATATCACGTTAATGTGATTAATTTTCCTCAAGATGTTATGGAATTTGCTACACGGTTACCTCATCATCCATTATCACTTGATGTTCTTGTTATGCGCTGTCACTCTTTTGATGGTAGAACATTTAAAGATTTTAATGTATGTCATTCTATAGTATTTAATGCTCTTCAATGATTAAAATATAACAATATTATTATCAATGAAGAAGTCTAAAGGTCTTTACCTGAAAATGGTTCTCTTAGTGATCAGATTCCTCAACTTGAAGATACTGTATAAATACCGAAATCACCAATTATATGGATAATCTTGATATGAATGACCTTGGTGATATGAATAATCTTGATAATTCAGGGATTAATAATTTTGTCTTTTAAGATTAAGATTAATTAAGTATTTTTTTTTCTTTTCTCTTTCTTTTCTTCTATATTTTTTATTATATATTTACAGTATATATTGTTGTATTACATCATATTTTGGATTACTTAGTTGAACCGTTACGAATGTGTACCTTATGCAATAAATGAATAACGACGTATTTAATCAATTGTTATTATTATCTGAATATTTGATTTTATAATTCGAGAGTCTGAATATACAGTATATGCGTATGCAAATAGTGGAGATAATGTTGATAACTTTTCTAATTAAACTAACTTGAATTAAAAAAAAGCATCAAGCATGAGACACATGTATGATGGAAGTCGTAAAGATGTATTGTCTAGGCATTTTTCTTATTATTTTTTTTACTGGCTGTAAGGTATATAAATTTTAATTTTTTAAATTATTTAACATAATTACTTGTCGTTATAATCAAAATAATCATAAATAATTATGTAATAGAAATACATTGACTTAATTTAATTGTTTTTTTTTTTTATGAATCTATAAATATTTATTTAATAAATTCATTATACAGTATATTTTAATATTTTTGTTTTACGTTTTCAAGAATGGGTATGTAAAGTTTTGGTCCATTATTTTAATTCCAGGGCTTTGTACTTAATTATATACAGTATATAATTTATGATTCGATAAAAAAAAACATCGAATAGCGAAAAAAGGAATAGCGTAAAAAGGAATAGCGTAAAATTTATTTTAATGAAATGTGGAAATAAAGACACTTTAATAAACAGGAATATTAAGAGATAAATTAAATTGTGAGGATGCGGCATACATAAAAATGCGGTCTTTAAATCTTACATCTTTTTAGTAAATTTATTTGAATATTAATTCTATGGGCAATGCATTCTACTGTTGCTTTCTTATATCGCTGCCAATGAACTGTAGAAACACTAACTAGTTCAATTTTAAAAAAATATTTAACCTACAGAATTTATACCATTCTTTAAACCTTATTATAATTGTTGTATAAATCTTATGTGTACAGCATACTATTACACAACTACTGAAATAGTATATTTTTTAGTCGTTTGATCGTGTCATTGTGTCTACAGTTACGTAAATACCAAAGGAAATAAGAAAAAGAAGACATAAAAGATTGAGTTTAGGGGATACAAACATGCTATTACGAGCAATAGAACTATCTGAATCTATTAATTTAGTAAATAAGGTAGGGGCATTTTGCTTAATTGATTTTATTATTTCGCTGGCTAAATAAAAAATCGGTTGTAAGAATTGTGAGAAAAAAATTGTAAATTGCACAATACTTACTAGATTGATCAGCACACCGTTTTTCTATTCCTTGAAGAAGCTCTATCAATTGTAAATCAGCGATTTGTTCTATAAAGTAAATATTGCAATTAAGTTTTAATAGTTTTAAGTATAATTATTATTTAAATATAATCATACTATTTATATCTAAATCTGATAAAGAGTCGGTTATGTCTTCTAAAAATTTAAAAAAAAATAAGTGTCAAAGCATATTTAATGCATAGAATCAAGTTTAATACCTGAGTTTTCTAACATGTTTTCGAAAGTAGATGAATTATGAGGATAATCATCACAACATTTTTCCTCATTTCTAAAAACAGATCCTGGGATTATTATTTCTTCATTAAGTTCTTTATAAACGTAATTGGCATCCGGACGTTGATTAGGTTCTTTAGCCCAACATTTTCGATAAGTCTCTATGTATTTACACGGAGTATACTGTATCGGCTCCTCTCTTTCACCCCTTAATAAGGCTAAGGAAAGATTATAATAATTCCAATCTTTAAATGGTGGTATCCCACTCGATATCTCCCACAGTACCACGCCCAAACTATATATATCCGATCTTTCCGTGAAATTAGCATAACTATTTTCACTTAGAACTATCGGATCTAGGAATGCTATTAAACCTTGTACCACCGAGATTGTCAAACTTTTACGAGATAAATCTTTTGACATTCCATAGTCGGTTATTTTCACCTTAATCCTATTGCGATTTTCATCGCACGCCGATAAAACTATATTTTTTGTATGCTTAAAAATAAATATATGACAGATGCGTAAATTTCTTGCAAAATAATAATAATAAATCTGGTATATGGATATGTTGTTACCAGATCTCTATGTAAAATGCTATTGGCGTGCAGAAAGCTTAGTCCACACGCGACTTGTCTGCTAATGTCGATCTTTTGTTCCCATGTAATTTCCGAATACCTCTCCGTTAAATATCTACGTAGGTCACCTAACTCAGCATATTCCAGGACCATTATATACCCATCTAGTGCTAAAAAATTAAAAAATGTTATTAAATACAATAATCTATCGGTGTAATTTTAAATATACATGTGCATAAATATACTGTGCATACATCGACTGGATAATTCGAATGACCAACGTGTTAGTCATGTCACGTTACTAAAATTATAATAACAATTCTTTCAAACTAAATATACCTTAATCCATAGAATCTTATGATATTTCGTGAATTTTTTTTGAATTTATCGAAGAATAAACTTTAAGCTATAAATTTTACGTTAGTCAATTATAATATCAAACGCGAATAATATCAAATACTTGCTTCTCTAATAACTTCAGTATATGTAGGTTCATCCAATTTTTCTTCCATAAGTTTTAAAACAACAATTATTTTTTGAATTCCATTATTCCACATTGCTTTTTTAATTTGGCATGTGCTTCCATCCGTCATATGTTCTAATACGTTGATTTCATTGTAATTGATATTTTCAATACATGACGTGTTTTCCTCAATTTTTCTAGCAATCTAACCATTTAAATTTAAAGGTAAATCATTTTATCAAGGAA